AGGGAAAAAAGGGGCAATATTAATATTGAATATAATCTTGCTTAGATATTTCACTTTTCATTATATATTATGTGTCTCCCATCTAATTGCAATTGCAGTTAATATTTTCCTGCAGGTAGTATTTCCCAAGGTAATATGCACTCAGCATTTTGTGAATATGTTATTGTTCTTCTAAATAAAATATTCTAAATTTCATCCACCAACATTAAAGTAGCTTTAATATTTTGGTATTCCAATTATTATCACAAATTAATTCTAAATTTTCTTTTACCATAGGCAAAGGAAGGATTATTCAATAATTAATCAAAAGATAGATAAGTTCAAACTTTAAATCTGAATATCTTTAGTCATAGTAAGACTAAACTCCCTAGTATCAATAGTTTTTTTTCTTTTTTTTTAAGAGACATAATGTTGCCCAGGCTGTACTTGAACTCCTGGCTACCCTCTTCCTCAGCCTCCCAACCATCTGGGACTACAGGCACGTGGCTAGTATTAACAGTTCTTACGCCCGAGAATGAACTGGAGACAGAACTGGGTCAATCTTGTGAAACTTGAAATATGGGTAAGCCATGTGATAGCAAAACTCATCTGAAGTTTCACTTTGAGAGCTGACCAAGAATTTCTTACCCAGAAAAGAGGGCGCTGGGCCAATGAATAAGGGAGACTCTCAAGGTTAGGGAGAAGGCTCAGAAATACCACCTAATGAGAGTTAACACAGGAATGACACTAGTCCTGGGAGAGTTGGAAGAAACCTATCAATGACATTATGGGTGGCTCTCCATATGAATCAAGAACTCCCATGTAGTCGCTGAAAATTAATTAAAAAGAAATTTTTCTACTTCTTGCTTGAAAGGTGTAATACAACTACAATTATGTGAGACAATGGAATGCCTTCAAAGAGGTGAATTACCAGATAATTAAAGCTAATTTCCAGAAAACAAACAAACAAATAAACCAATGACATAAAATAGCCATCTAGCTTTACCAAATTATTTACTAAATTTACCATCACCAGTGACTGTCCTGATTGGCATTAAGAAATATTCTATCTATTTTGATCTTTGGCCTTCATTGAATATGTCTTTTTATCTCTCATTACGTAACACTCTCCAATTCATAATCTTATAAAATTAAAGAGAAGAAATCATTAGAGTACATTTCTAAGTATTGTACCTGTTCTAAGATTTAACGTTTTAAATATAGTAATATTTGTCTGAGCCCCAAATACATAAAAAGAAACTATCTCTGTGAGAGCTTAAAGAAGTACCTAAAAATTTTACAACCTGCGATATATAAATCTGTAACATGTTTCCCTGACAAAAACACACAGCTAACCATATTATAAATTAATTTATTCATCAAAAGCTTACAAATAAAGTTG